GCAATTAGATACTATTATTCACTTCTTGGTTGGCTAGAGTACATTTCTAAGTATGGACATAGGTGACCTATTCCATTAGGTGAGCCCTTGATTATGCACAACTTTTAACTAAGTATAGCATTTACCACCACTAAGTATAGCATTTACCACCATTCATTTTTCCCTGAAAAGTGTAATGCATGTTTTGTCCAGAAATAGACTTCTGTGCTCACAGTTTTAAAAATTTAATCCCTCTTCAAATTTCTAAATGTTGTTATGCATTTCCTAATTTACAGTCATAATGAGGTGTTCAAAGCTAGTCTGCTGCTTTTTCTATTTCATTTTTAATCCAGAATTTTTTAGAAACAGGTGTGTGATTTGATAGCCTGGAGATACAAGGCAAACTCTCTTGTCTCATTTGAACATCTTATGAAGTTCTTGAGGCAAATCCTTTGCTTTACTTAGAGAGAGGCACCCCCACAATGCAAAGCTGTACACAAATCCTGGGGTGACTGGTCTACACTTCTGAAGACTTTCTTTGATTGCTCATTGTTTACATGTCCCCAACTCCTGCCTTTCTGTGCTTAGGGTTTTTTGTTTGTTTGTTTGTTTTTATATTATAGTGGAAAAACTCATGTATACACTCAATCTTAAATTTTGGGCTTCTGAATATTGAAAAGGTTTTCCTTTATTTGGATCCCATTTTCTTCTAACTTACAAACCCTTAAAGTTTCTTTCTTTTTTAATATTTTTCTTGATTTATGTTTCTTTTGTTCCACTAAGAATTAGCAATGGGTCTCAGTTTGCCAGCTTTTAGTGAAATGGTCTTCCTCTAAATTATAGAAGAATTTTTAAAGTTTGTTCCCTTCCAAGCATCACTTTCACAGTTAACTTCCTCAGTTATGGATTTTATTTTTATAATTTTATTTTTTATAAATTATAAAACTTATAAATTATAAATGTATTATAATTTGAATCTCCTTGCAATCTTTTCTTTTTCCTGTACTACCTTTCATCACAGTATCAAGGTTTTTCATTCTCATTTCTTAGACTCTCTTAAAAATGCCGGATCTTATAAACATATCTTCTGGTTCCTGTAAGAAATTATTTTCAGAGCTCTGATCCTCTTTGTTCAGGTTGATATTCTATTTGGCCCTTGCTTTAATATATTTTTCATTGGGGCCCCTTCCTCCATTTTCCATTTTACTTATCTCAGAATGAGGACAAATCTATGAAAACTTGGTATTTTTAAATAAGAGCTTTGTATTCATAGCATACATAACAAAGCTGTTCTGTGCTACGACACTCAGCATGACATTTCTTCAGGGACTTTCCTCAATTCTTTGCCCTCTTTGGTATTTAATCTTTGGGGAGAAATTGTACACCAGTATTTCCATTATGCACTCCCCACCCTTCCCCCCATCCTACACACACATCATCACACTCACTGTTTTCTATCCTTTCTGTTATCTGGAAGTTGTCATCTCTGAATAAGTATGGAGAGATGGAGACGAAGCACAGAAATAATCCTCTGGCTCCTTAGAAAATCAATACTCTAAAGGATTGGCAGAACTTTTTCTGATTCTATGAAAACATGGTAGACAGTAGAGATATTTTTTTCTATAATTTCCTTCCTTTTAACTCTTTTTGGGGAAACAAGGCTGCTGTGTTTCATGAAGTGGCTTTTGGGCACTCCTTATTGCTGTTCTTAATCCAGGTCCATCAGTTTTATAGTTTGTGAAAATTATAAATTGCTGTTCCCAGTGACCTCTTTCTTCATTCTTAGTCTTCAGGGTTGAACGGTTTTTGATACCATCAATTATTTCTAAAGTATCTATTGAAATGTTGAAATAACCTGTGTAAACAACACAATTTGGAGACATTTTAATTCCATCTTTTAAAATTACAGTTTGGTCATTAAGGAAAGAGATCCAGAGCAGTAGGAGAATATAGGAAAACTGTTTCGAATGCTGATATTTTTAATCCTTTTTAAAAGTTATGTGTAGATAGATGATAGATAAGTAGATAGCTTTTTATGAAGCCTCTGTTTATTATATTTTAGCTGATTTATTTATGTGTCCATTTATTTATTTATCCTAATTTATGCCAGTGTACAGTGAACCCTGGAGTGGAGTCAGGCTAGCTGAAGTCTAGTCCAGGATCTGATATTGTTTAGCTATGTGCAGTGCTTCACATTAATTTTAATAGTGGAAAAAAAAAGCCTAACTAAAGTTAATCAAGTAACTCTGTTAATGTAGTCAAGCCAGTAAATCTCTGCCCATTTCTTTATTTACAAAATAAGGGGAAATCTATAATATTTATAAATTACTTTGTACTTGTTTAATTTCATGGCAATGTAAAACCAAGTCAATGTTCTAATAATGGAGACTTGGTGTACTATAGTGAGTTCACAAAGAAGCAAGTGCTGCATTAAAATTTCTAACCTAATCCAGCTGAATTCTTTCATGTTCATTGATTTTCAGTTTTGATTTTTAACCAACTCCAAGTTATAAATACCAGTGCTTCTATTCTGTTTTTGAAAAAGGCATTTTCACCTATAGAAAATGGTGCAATCAGCAGCATTGATTGAAAGTAATATGTTTCTGCTGAGGGATTTTTCTACCAAAGGTTGGCCAACACTGATGCATCTTTTTCCATCCATATTTCAGTGAGAGTACCCTAGGTTAGTTACAGTTTTTCAGACTTAAAAGAGAACAGAAGAACCCAAATCATATGGCTATGAGGTATATTCAGAGGAAAGGCAGTTTTGTGGACCTTGAGACTATCCTCCCCGTCACTAGACCTTACTGTGCAACGGGGGCTCTGAGTGCTCTGGGGAATGACTCACTCCTCGTCCATCTTGGAGGGGATCTGGACCTTCCCTTCAGTCACTCTAAGACTTCATAGAGAAAAAAAGCCATCAAACTCATATCCTTGACTTTGAAGGAAAAGTATTTTTGTAATTCAGTTAAGTTCAGCATTTTGAACCTAGCTATTTTACATGAAGATTTTGTTTAAATTCACTGAAAATAGGTTTTGCTAATACTTACCTTATAGATGAGAAGAGATTAAGGTGGAGGTACACAGATTGCCCTGCATCATATCCTTAATTAGTGGCAGAGCTAAAATTCCATCACTAATTCTTCTGACTTTAAAGTTCCTGCTTAGAAACATGTTAAGCTGATCAATGAGGTTTCAGGTCTGCATGTAAGAGAACCTACCAGTACATTAACATATAGGGCCTTACTTACTGCAGTAACAAGCAGGGCACTACTGATGCTTAAGGGAACCCTCAAGACCCAAGCTCCTTCTAGCTTCCTTTCTTCCATTCTTAGTATGTGCCTTTTACCTCATTGCTGCAAGCTGACTGCTTTACCTCCTGGTATCATCCAAATAGGAGGAAAAGGGTGAGCAAAGGAGGAAAAAACACCTGTTATCTAAATTTAATCTTTTCTTTAAATCATAAAAATAATAGCTTACCTGGAAGCCTTTCATAATATACTTACATTTATCTCATTGACCAAATCTACATTTATGGCTATTTCAAGCTTCAAGGGAGTCTGGGGAGTCATTTTTTAAGTCAAGATTTATTGAGGTGTAAGTTACACACAATAAAATTCACACATTTTATGGTCTATGACCTTTGACAAATGCATACACCGTTTAATCTCCACCCCAGTCAATATATAGAACATTTTCATTTTGAGGCAGTGTTAATGAGCCCTTGGCTATCTTCAAGTCGAGGTTCAGTTCTGAAAGGAAGGAGGAGACAATGTTAGGTGGGCAATACGCAGCACTGTCAAACTAAGATTAACATTTTTTTGAAATATATATACATTATATTAGTTTCACATGTACAACATGATTCGATATTTGTATATAGTCTGAAATGATCACCACAGCGAGTCTAGTTAGCATCTGCTAAATAATGATGTAGTTAACCATTTGGAAAAGCAAAATTATAAAACAGCAACTACCCATAGGTGGAAGAAGACTTCAGTTATAGTTAGCCTAGCTTAAAACAGGCACTTGGACAAATGTCCCAGATCTATTTATGTCTCAATTTTCTAATATTAAAAACAAAAAAAGGTTTTAAAAATTTCTTACATGTGTTAAAAATTATGGTTTAGATGAAGTGAGATAATTTATGTGAAAGCACATTGAGATCTGTGAAGCTCTATTCAGATATAAGGAACTGTCTTTTTTTCCATGATGAGAGGTGTTTCTTTTTGAAAATAATGATGAATTTGATTTACTGCCTGAAATATCACAGTAATGGAATTCAAATGTAACTGTAAAATATATTAACTTTAATTTATTAATGGCCTATAAATCAGGGCAATATGCAGCTCTAGGCAGAGGCAATTTCATATTTGCATTCTTATCAGTTTTCTTCCAAACTATCTCTTTTAATTGGGTAAAAATGTATAATTTCCTGAAACTACTGGGAATATATGTACCTTTATGACTAATAAATTCTGTAATTTCCCAGTTTCTATATAATATTTTGAAAAATAAATCTTGACAATCTTCCATTCAATGTGAAATATAAACTTTATTTTGAGAAACTCTGCTTTTTGTACAAATAATGCTGAATTTTGTAATATTTGGGAAGACCGTTTTTTTCTGTTTTGAATTGAAAATACTTGGAAGTTCAGCCTTTGGAATCTGTTGTAAAAAGTTAAAAATCAGCCTATTGTGAGATTTTGGGACACTCTAGAAGCAGAACCCTTGATTGCTTGTTGTACAGGATCTGTGTAGAAATGTGATTATTTGTACTATTATTAATTCTCAGAGTTTTGTCAGAACACTATTCTGAACTCAAATATCTTGTTGAAATGTAGTTTTTTCCTGTATCCTTTTATCATAAACTGTGTCAACCCATACTGGTCTTTATTGAAAGTAGATGTATCTGTAACTCCAGGATACTAATTTCCTCTAGCCTATTACTTTTTCATTTAAAAATTCTCCATTATTACTTCACATTAAAGTCTTTGTTGTTTTGTTCATAAAATTTCCAGGTTGGATTCAACACTGGCTTTGTTGGTCCTTGGGGAGGCTGCCAAATTAAACATGGCCTGCTTGAAAGCCTTAATGGAACTAATGAAACATTTTCTTTTAAGCATTCTGTCTGTTCAGAATCAGGTAATAATATATTGTTCATTTGGGTGTGCAAAAGATGTGAATAGAAACAATTTATTTTTGTTGCCATTTAAATTGTGTTCCCTATTAGGGCTTATTATGAGCATAACTTCGTAATAATAATTTAAATCAATATGAAAGTAAATGCACATTGACTGTATATTCCAGTACAGATATAGATTTAATTGTAGAGATATAGAAATAGATTATACACATACACACACATATATGAGAGAGACTTTAAATTTTATTAACAAACTTGAGATCCTATAGTCATATATTGTTTAGTTTCCTCTTTTAAAAAAGCTGAAAATATAAAAACATTTTCAATGTCATTAAGTATTATTAAGATTTACATATTAGTGTGCATGAAATAATTTAACCATATAACCAGTTAATTACAAATTATGTTGAACTGCTATTCGCATACATAAAATCTTTATCTGCATTTATGACTATTTCCTTAAAATAGATTCATAAAATTAAATTACTGAGTGATAAACTATGAACTTTCTTTTAACATTCTTAGGGCAGATGTCCAAATTCCTTTCCAGAAGATTCAACGTTCTTGCTTTCCTATGAAAAATGTATAAAAGTGCCACATACAAGAACTTAGCTTTATATAAAAAAGATTCTTTTACAATATGTTATGGGAAATAGCATCTCATTGGGTTATTTACACTCCACTTATTACTAAGGAAATTGAAAAGTTTTATTCTTTGTATGCTTCTTAGTTATTTGTATTTTTTGTTCTTTGAACTAGGTTTTATGCAATCTACCCATGGTAAACCTGTTTTTAATAATACATTTTAGAAATATTAGTTTATGGTCTTTTAAAAAGTCTATAAAATTTGAAAATATTTCTTACAAGTACATTATATAGTTCTTGATTATGACAGAACATATTTGATATATAATAGCTATTTTCTCATCGTAGGAAGAAACTTGCAAGGTAAATGATTTTTCCTGGGCCTGGAATGTAGTCTATTTATACACAACAAATCTTGCAGAAATCTGCTTGTATGCGGCCACTTCTAACTTGCGAAAAACGGCTTTTGTTGGTTTCTGTGACTGTAGAAGTTTACAAAAAGATAATTTACACATGGACAAATCAGAAGAACCACCAGAATTGAGGGAAACAAGTATTTCAGGTCTTTTGGAATATTTCTCTTCAAAAATGTCAGATAACTGTAAGTAAATTATTTTTCAACTTGATGAGAAATCTTTTTCAAATGTCCCTGTGTGTATGTAGTAATAAGCCTTGTACAAAAAGCTAACTTGCTACAAATTTAGGAAGACTATTTCGTAACATGGAACTCTTTCATCAGTAATTTAAAAACCACTGAAATATAGCCAGTTGATTTATGATTCAAATTATGTTCCTTGAAAACAAAAGATGACCTTAGGAGAATTTATGAAATGCATACAGTTTGTCTTATTCTTTTCAGCATAATGGCTTCTACATCCATCTTCTCCATTTTCTCTAGGCATGTACTGCTTCTCTTGTTTTTTTTCCCTGCCCGAAGGATATCTCTTTAATCATTCAAATATTATAGTTCATTCTTCACATATGACATCTTTTACTCCACCAAATCTTACCTGTCTTATGTCTCAAGACTAAAGGCCATTTTGCCGCTATGTTAATGGGGGCTATTAGAATAAAAAAGTTTTATTTTTAAAATAGTACTGTAGGGGCAATATTAATTCAAAGGTGTCCTTTTAGGTTGTCTAGAACTTTTCTTTATGAATATTACTGAAGTCTACATATTATTATAGTCTGTTATGTATATGACTGTCACTTCCATTACAAGATAATTGAGACTAGACAATCATGTCTGAATTATATTTGTATAAACACAGCATCTGACTATAATGTTTAACACATTGTAGGTGGGCAGTTAATAATAGAGGATTTTTTCTGTAATTATACCTATCACTGAATTCCAAATATAATCACAAGTTTTTGAAAGTACGGAAGGAGGCAGGGTATTGTCTTTTTAAGAACCATAATTCACTGATTTGGGATAAATTATGCTTGAACATAATTTTAAAAAATAAGACCTTATGAATTTCATCCTCAAAAACTTGTTCACTATTTTTAAATTACTTGCAATATACTTTTGGTTTCATGAGTAGATTGGAACCTATCATTTCTGAGTGCAATTTGCTTGACCTTTCCCCATTTGGGGGAAGATTGTACTTAGTTTTATTACTGCCAATTTTAAACAGATTTTTAGTCTTTAGTATGCCAATTGTATTTTCCCATGTTTACAATATTGATAAAATGAAGATGTATTCACTTCTTTTGCTGTTCACACTCAAGTATTTAAAATGGTCAGAAATCTTCCTATATAATAATTCAGAATATGATTTTTAAACTGCTCCTAAACAGATTCATCTACAAATTTTAGGACTACAACTTTTTTGTCTAGCTATGTAGAATTAATTCTTTCTGTCTTCTTTCATTATTCTGTACAGTGATGGGTCCAGAAGATCGGGAGGAGCTTCACTCCCAGAAGCCCCTCGGCCTCCATCTGGTCATGACCCCTGAGCACAGGCATAACCTCATGATGAGGAGGTTGCATTTTTCTGTGATACCCATGTTTATTTTCCTTCTCAGCAGTAGGATTTTTTCCCAGCCAGTTGATTTCATTATATTCATTTGCTCATTGTTGATCTTTTCGTGGATTTCTGTCTTCTCCTGAGACTCTATTTTGATGGCACAGGCACAGAATTTCGGTGAACTCTTGGAAGAGATTTTTTTCTTTCTCATCACCTACAGCTTTATGTTGCTTAGCCTCCTGGACAACACACCCAAGGTCTTTCTAGCTCAAATATTATTCTTTCTCCCTATATTTGTTTCTCTGTCAACAGCAGACCTATTGAGAATTTTATTGGCATTTATGTGAGCTTTCTTCCTTCTGAACAATGCTCCTACACATTACAGAATTGTCTGTGAGCTTGAACTTGCCAAACATGTACTCATCCATGGTCATTGTTTTCTCATCTTTATACATCTGAATTAACACACTTGTTTCTGTGTGGTTTGAATTCAATACCAAGGGAAGAGTATGTCATCTAAGAAACAGCCAATTCTGATTATTTTCCTATGTGTCCATAGGTGAGATAGCCACCTGGATACCTGTACTATAAATGGTAATTTCATGAAGGTCGATACTTTTATTTAATTACTTGTCATTGAATAGGTCCTGTAGGAGTTGCTGAATCTCATTGCACCAAACGCTAGACACTGTTATGGACCAAAGAGCCTTCTCTACAGATCACATGGTGTCAGCATTTTGTTCTTTAACTGATTTTATAAGAGGGTTAGGAGGCAATCCCTAACAGACTGAATTCTGGAAGGAGGTGACCTTTGTACATTCACAAGTGATGTAGAAGCAGTGGATATTTCTTTTACTTTCTCTTAGGTCCTTCTTATGCTTACACTTGAACTCATCAATAAAATAGTTAACCAGCATTTTGTCAATGTTTTCTCAAGCCATGTGGGCAAATAAATATCCCTAGTTGTGGAATACCTTGAAAGATTTGATCCACAATAAAGATGATAGACATATTGCCATCTCCACAGTCAAAAGTGAATACATTTTCTATGACATCAAACTTCTTGTACAAGTCACAAATAATACATAGTGGTATTTGTCTCATTAATGATAACCAAGTATGTATACCTTTGATACATACAACATCTTTGTGTTTTCTTGTGGGAAATGTTTGAAGTAAGTTCATAACTGGTTAAAGACACTCAAGAATGTGAGAACATTCTTCAATTACATTCACCTTTGTCAGAACCAGAGAATGTGCCTCCTCTGGACACAAACTTCTGGTTTTCTTCTGATATTTGTACTAGATTTTTGGATTTCCATGATCAATCACTACCATGAAAAACCATTACTTCATATGACAGCAGAAATACACAGTCAAATATTTCACCAAATCATAGCACTTAAAAACTATGTCGATGTGATTCATTCTGACTTCATTCTTGGCAGCATCACTCATCCTGCTGCACTTCCCACTTGGGAAAGGTATTTTGCCTGGGTGGTTCTGCGTGCATGATCACCGGTTATGATCACCCGTTCTTCCAGACCACGAAAGTGTTGTCGTCCGCGCAGGCCTTGTTAACATGATCGCTGGAAAGGACAGCTCTGTCTTTTTGAAAAGTGATATAAAGAACCTGGAGCTGCAGCTTTATTTAATTGAAAATGCTTTTTTTCTGATGATTTTACTCACTGAGTAAGTAATATTTTCTTTAGAGTGAAAGAATCAGTTCTGGAGTCACTGGATTTGTATTTTAATTCTGTCACTTGTATCTTGGAATCCTAGGTCAAATTATTTAATCCTGCTGACTTCACTTACTTACCTGACAATTATGATAAAAATTCATACATAGTGCTTTTTGTGAGAAAAAGCTATGGAAACATATGAACAGTTGGTATAGTACCTGTGCATAGTAAAGGGCCAATAAATGTTAGTAGGGGTTATGGCTTTTCATGTATGGCAGTGTTGGTGTATGAGGAAACATCAGTAAGGGAGGATATTTTTCTAGAATAAATTTTTCTGTAAATTTTTCTAAGATTTACAGTGAGAAAATGTTTTTCTCAAAGCTTATTTCTATGTATACTTTATATTCTGGTAAGTCTATTTTATTTATATTTATATGTAATGATATAAATGGCATTGAAAATCACTTTAAAATGATACCAATAGCCTTTTTTTTCTTTTTTTATTAACTTATCATTGAAATATAATCTTTTTTTTTATTAGGGTGTCTTTGATATACAATCTTACGAAGGTTTCACATGAGCAAAATTGTGGTTACTACATTCACCCATATTATCAAATCCCCCCCCCACACTCATTGCAGTCATTGTCCATCAGCGTAGGAGGTTACTATAGAGTCACTACTTGTCTTTTCTGTCCTATACTGCCTTCCCTGTTATCCCCCTACATTATGTGTGCTAACCATAATGCCCTTTAATCCCCTTCTCCCTCCTTCCCCAAACCCCTCCCCTTTGGTAACCGCTAGTCTCTTAGAGTCTGTGAGTCTGCTGCTGTTTTGTTCCTTCAGTTTTGCTTTGTTATAATACTCCACAAATGAGTGAAATTATTTGGTATTTGTCTTTCTGCACCTGGCTTACTTCACTGAGCATAATATCCTCTAGCTCTATCCATATTGTTGCAAATGGTAGGATTTGTTTTCTTCTTATGGCTGAATAATATTCCATTGTCTATATGTACCACAGCTTCTTTATTCACTCATCTACTGAGTGGACACTTAGGTTGCTTCCATATCTTGGCTATTGTAAATAGTGCTGTGATAAACATAGGGGTGCATATGTCTTTTTGAATCTATGATCTTGATTTCTTTGGGTAAATTCCTAGGAGCGGAATTCCTGGTCAAATGGTTATTTCTGATTTTAGTGTTTTGGGGAACCTCCATATTGCTTTCCACAAGGATTGAACTAATTTACATTCCCATCAGCAGTGTAGGAGGGTTCCCCTTTCTCCAGATCCTCACCAGCATTTGTTGTTGTTTGTCTTTTGGATGTTGGCCATCCTAACTGGTGTGAGGTGATATCTCATTGTGGTTTTAATTTGCATTTCCTTGATGATTAGCAATGCAGAACATCTTTTCATGTGCCTGTTGGCCATCTGAATTTCTTCTTTGGAGAAGTGTCTGTTCAGATCCTCTGCCCATTTTTTAATAGGGTTATTTGCTTTTTGGGTGTTAAGGCATATAAGTTCTTTATACATTTTGGATGTTAACCCCTTATTGGATATGTCATTTATGAATATATTCTCCAATACTGTAGGACAACTTTTTGTTCTACTAATGGTGTCCTTTGCTGTGCAGAAGCTTTTTAGTTTGATGTACACCAATTTGTTCATTTTTGCTTTTGTTTCCCTTGCCCAAGGAGATATGTTCACAAAGAAGTTGCTCATGTGTATATTCAAGATATTTTTTCCTGTGTTTTCTTCTAAGAGTTTTATGGTTTCATGACTTATATTCAGGTCTTTGATACATTTTGAGTTTACTTTTGTATATGGAGTTAGACAGTAATCCAGTTTCATTCTCTTACACGTAGTGGTCCAGTTTTGCCAACACCAGCTGTTGAAGAGGCTCTTATTTCCCCACTGTAGATCCATGGCTCCTTTATCATATATTAAT